CCTCTACGGCTTCCGCAAGGTGGTGCTGGGCCCGCCGGGCGGCTCCCTCCTGGCCCCGCCGGCCTCGGCCTCGGGCTCGCCCGCGGGGCCCCTGCACCACTTCCACAGCCCGCACTTCCGCCGCGACCGCCCCGACCTGCTGGTGCACCTCAAGCGCCTCACCAGCGCCAACAAGGCCAAGCTGGCGGCCGGTCTGGAGGTGACGAGCCGCCCGCCCAACCGCTTCCAGCGCCTGCTCAGCACCTCGCTGCAGGGCGACGCGCTGCTGCCGGCCCCGGCGCCCGGCAAGGCCGACAAGCCCGGTGAGGCGGGGGGGGGAGGGGCACGAGGCCGGAGCCCTTTGTGAGGACGGTGGGAGGGGACCGAGTCGCTGGCCCGGTCCAGCCGCCCTCGGCGCGCAATGTGCCGTGCTGAAGAGGCCGAAGTGTCCCTCTGCACCCGAGCCCCTCCCTCACTTGACCTGCACTGTCGTTAAACAGATTTTTCAGTGTACTTTCCCCATCTTGAAAATGTGCCTTTTCACCTTGTCTCAGTCGGGCAAGAGGCAAGGACTTCTTAGGATGACACCTTCTGTTGGCCTAGCTGTGTAAGGGGGAGCAAGTTGGTTAAGCTTTCAAAACCTGTCAGTTTCAGCTAGGCAGTTAGTCCAATAACAGATCTGACCCTAAGTCCTCTCCTCTTGCATCTCTTTAAGACTACCATAACATAGGGTGCCTACACACGCGCAGCGAGGCTACTCCAGCGCGCTGGAATTACAGCATGTCAGAGCAGACTCAATTGAGTCAGCTGGAGCATGGTAATTACTGCACTCCAGCAGACCCCAGCATCACATGTATCAGCATCTCTGCATTAGACGAGCTTTAGTTAGAGCACCCCTGTCGCCATTTTTCAGCACAGGGATGCAGATACGCAAGACACGATGGGTCAGGGGCGGGCGATTATTTCGGACAGAGGGCCGCTTACTGAGTTTTGGCAAGCCATCGAGGGCTGCATGACAGGTAGCCCAGGGCAGATAAATATTACTTTTCTAAATTTTTTAGGGGCCCCGCGGGCCAGATAGAATGGCCTGGCAGGCCACATCTGGCCTGAGGGCCGCATTTTGCCCACCCCTGCTCTAGGTGCTTTAATTAGAGCAGCTTGTGGAGCCACAGTCAGGGGCACACTCCCAGCATAGGAAAGTTTAGTCTTAGTTATTCACCTTTGACAAAGCTGCACGCAACTTAAAATAAGGTATTGAGGTTGTGTAACGCTTTCTGTTGTAAGTATAGGTACTCTCTCTTGTAAACCCAGTGTGTCCTCTTTCAGCTTTAATACCTGCTCCCTATAGTGCAGTCACCATCCCTGGATGTGGTTCCTCTAACCTTTGGTTAGAGGTTGACTAGTGTGCAGCTGTTCATTCCTGCAGTGCTGCTTTGGGCTTCTGCCAGGAAGCAAGAGACCTGTACCAACAATCAAGCCTAGAATGCCAGGCATAAAGTAGAATGATGGCATGTCCAGGTTCCCAGCATTCATAGTTAATTTAAAAAAGTCCAAAGATGAAAATTGGTACAGTTTTTTCCATCTGAGGATTTTTGATAAAATATTTGGGCTGAGATTTCAAAGCTATTTAAAAGGTTTGCCTCTAATTCCCATTGTTTTTTCTCTTAGCTGACTTTGAGGTTTCAGTCTTGATTTTGGTACTGTCTTATAGGCCTGTGCGAAGCAGCTAGTACTGGCTTTGGATTTAGATTCGGCTGGTTTGAGGGACAGTGATTCAATTTGGTGATTTGAATCACTGTCCTGATTTGATTCGGCCGAATCTGATTCGGAGATTCGGCAGCCAGGCCCATTCCCCTCCCTTCTCCCAGCCCAGCAATGGCTGCCCCAGCTCCCGGCACTTGTTTAAAAAAAACAAACTCCTGGTGCTCACTCGGTGCTGCCGGGCAGAAGGCGATCCATGCTGTATGGGGGGGCTCTGCACGAGACCCCCAATCCCCTCCCTCACTCTCCCAGCCCCCCCACAGGTACCCTGCCCAGGCCACCTCCGGTCCTTTAAGAAAAAAAAAAATCACCCCGGGACTCACCACTCCTGCTGGCAGGGGGTGATCCCTGTTGCCCCCCACTGCCCCATACCACGTGAGGGGCCACTGCAGGAGCCTCCGAAGCCCCAAGGCCACTGCAGGAGCAAAGTGTCCCAGGGCTTTTCTCAGCTGCATTTTTTCTTAAAGGGCCAGAGCTGGCCTGGGGGGGCACCCATGGGAGGGCGGAGGGGAGCAAGGGGAGGGTTTGGGGGGGCTTATGCAGAGCCCCCCCATGCAGCATGGGGCAGTGGGGAGCAATGGGGATCTCCCCGACCCGTTCCAGCAGCACCCAGTGAGCACAGGAGCTTTTTTTTTTTAAAGTACTGAGCTGGGGGTCCCCCCATGGTCCGCACCCCTGCCCCTAGTATTTACCAGTCCAGTGTCAGATGTAGCTCCCTCCTGTAGCCACCGGGGGCTGTCCGAATCATCAAAGCTCTCCAAATCTTTTCCAAAAATTTGGAGAGCTTTGAATTGATTTGGACCTTTAAATTGGCCCCCTGATTCAATTTGGATTCAGAGATTCGGGCACCAAATCAGGGCAAATCTCCTCCAGATCAAATCACCACCTAAAGCTTCGCACAGCCATACTGTCTTATATTACGTTCTGCTTTTTTGCATACTGTATGGTTTACCAAATTGCATTTTCCAAATAATTTGGATTTGGTTTGCTGACTTAATGTGCAAAATAATATCTAACTCATTTACAAATTGTGATAGAGCTGTTTTTGTTAGTGGTAGATTTATTTTTACTGCATGACAAACATTTTAGGGCCAGCCATTATGCTTTCTTCATAAAGTTGAATCTAGTTTATGCATGGATTAGGAATTTAGGACTGGAAGTGGCCTTCTAGGGTCATTGAATCTAGTCTCCTACTCATATAGAAAACCCTGGCATGTAATCCCTTTAATTGAACAGAGTATTTTGATTCTTTCTTTCTTTAGTGTCTGTTTCATAACCATTTAATTCTAGTAAGTTCTTCTTAATACAGGGCAGCTGACCATAGGACAATTTCATCGGTCTTTTCGGCGTGACAGTTTATCACCTTACTCATATGTATCTGCTTCATCCCACCACCCCAGCACTTTACCTTTAAAAGGCTTAGATCGGACTCCAATCCCTCCCAGAACATGGCAGAATTCCCTTGGGATGCTTCCAGGGCAGGTGGAGACTTCTTCAAATTTTTCAGAAAAAGGGGTTCCATTTTCTGTACTACAAAGGTTTCCAACAGAGGTTACATACACACTGCAACCCAATGCTACTTCTGTCCATATTCAGCAAGGGCCTCAGGCAATGGTGACTTCTTCTCAGAAATACAGCAGCTACACACCTTCACCACAGTACTCTCAAGCCTACTATCCAACAGGTGAGAAATAGTTCTAGTATTTACCTTTCAAAAAGTTACTTAACACATTTTTAGAACAGTGTACTTTAACATATATATACATACCTTAAAAGGGAGAGAGAACCTCCCAGCAAAGCAGGTTTTTCATGCTTATTCCTTCTTCTCCCTGTTCAAAAGGCTATATGTCCCATCAACACTTGCTAGAAAGGGTACAGGACGGAGAATAGGAATACCACTTTGGGTGAAGAATTTGATCGGGCTTATCTTCCCCATATAAGAAAATGGAAATATTTCTGCTGACCTCCTTTTGAAATCTTAAGACAGAAAACATGAGTAGTGCTTTTTGTCTTTAGATCTCAAAGGAAGCAAGTAAAATTATTGGTATTATGCCAGTAGCTGAGTAGCTGACTCGTGGAGAACCTTGGGCAGAAGTTCCCATGGCTTCAGGGAGTCCCTGTTTGCAGGTGTGCGCCGTGGAAGGGCATGCATATTGCACTGCTGGGCCATACCCTGAGGGGGTTCTCCAATTTGCAGTTGACCCACAGGATTGGGCCTCAGGAGTGGCAGGGGCCTGACCCTGCAGAATACTGGGCAACTTCTGTGTTGCCTGGTGAAGCAGATCAGCTATACCTGGACATATCCTGGCACAGGTGATCCTGCTCCAAGGATGAAGTCTGTTTATAGCCCCAAATCATTTTCTATCAGATTGTTGTCTAGCTAATTGTTCCTTATTTAGTATTTGTGAAGTTGATTATTCCTACCTAAGTGCAGTACTATGTAACTTGTCCTTATTGCATTATATATATTTGCAGACTGTGTGTCAAGATCATTTTGAATTCTAAACTTATCTTCCAGACAGCTTGCATTTCCTCTTAAGCTTTGCATAGTCTGCAAATTAAAGTATACTCTCTATTCCATCATCCACAGCTATATTGAAAATATTGACTAGTACCAGATCCAAAATGGATTCATCCAACTTGACAGTGAATCAATGATTACTACTCTTTGAATATTGTTTTTTAGCTGGTTGTGTACCCATTTAGTTTTTTCAACATATTTCCTTGGCTTGCTGATAAGAATATCCAATAAGACCGTGTTAAAGACCTTACTGAAGTTGAGACATATCACATCTGCTACTTGTTCTCTATTCACAAAGCCTGTTATCGTGTCTTTGAAGAAAATTAGGTTGGTGCCACATGATTTCATCCTGGTTATCTTGTAAGTACTTATGGGATGTTCAGAAAGTTTCTATCCCAAGAAAGAAACACTGTTTTGCAGCCACTTCTTTGTTTTCTTCAGTGTAGCCTCCCTTAGCATCACTGCATTTGGTCAAAGTAGCTGCAATTTATATATGCACATTTAGACACGTGCTAAATGGCCAGGATCTCATCTGGTGCAATTCTCTCATCATGGAAACTCTTTCCACAAGGGCCTTTCTTCAGCTTTGGGAAAAATCAAATCTGTCATATTGACTAGATGGGAAAATTCAGAACCATATTTAATCACTGTGATTAGCATAACCTAGGATGTTTGGGGTAATACTATATCCTCAAGAAACATTTCTTCTTGATTCAGCTTTGCACAGAGATTGATTTGATGGATTCTTGCAAGTGCAGGAGTTCATTAGCATAGTACTTCTTTTTGATAGACTTGCTTGTTCACAGGTAGTTAGTTATGCTTACTAGGGATGCACTGATAAAGATGTTCTTGGCCACTACCGATTAGCTGATTATTAACCAACCATATTGGCCGATGCCAATTCAATACCTGATGTTTAATAATAATAATGCAAGGCATTTTGAATTACTAACATAAACCTTTTTTTGTTTGTTTTACATTTATAACCCCCCAAGTTTTAGTTCAAGCACCCCTATCACCACTTGTAAGCATGGGTATGCTGATACAGTTGTGACGGCACTTAAATTAGAGTGGCTTTCAGAGCCACTGTAATTAAAGTGCTGCCCTCCCCTGCCCCTACTCCTGGAGCACATGTAAAAGTGCTGGTGCTGGTTGTAGCAGGTGGTGCCAGCCTAGCATTGCCTGTGACTGGCTGTGTGGAGCCTTTTAGCCCATGCTCTTCCATGTGATGCCCTTAAACTCTAGCCCAGGGGCCGCTGCTTAAGCCTGCCCAGTAGGGCTGCCTGCCCAGGTCTGGATGGTCTCTGGGCCAGGCTCCCCACTCTCCTCCCTCTGCCCAGGACAGGGCCATAGGGCCATTCTAGACCTGGAAAAACTGAGCCACTCCTTTCCCGCAGTCATACCCCAGGTCCTGGTAGCTGGACTCCAGTGAGTGAAGGGCCCCTTCTGGAGCTGCTTCGGTCCCTGCCAGGCTCTGCCCCCGGCCCCTGGGGTGTGGATCTTTGGGCACTGCGGGTTGAGTTATGCTGGGCCTGGCCGGGCAGCTACATCCACCCCTCCCTGCCCCAGTTGCGTCTTTGCAGCATTCGGCACCTTTTACAGTGCCTGCCCTGGCCACAGTTTGCACTGTCAGCACCCGGGATATCACAGCAGCTGCTCCAGCTCTACTCCAGCCCAGCTCACCGGTGGGGATGGGGGTGTATCTGGGGTTACCCCAGCTCATGGAGGGAACCTAAGCGTCCAGGGCCCTGGCCAGAAGGCATAATTATTGGAAAACTTTATCAGCTACAGTGGCCAAAAAAAAAAGCCGATAGCTGATAATATTATTTCCCTTTTATCAGTGCTGATCAGATAAGCAACTGATATATCAGTGGCAGGCAAGTTTCTTTGGGTAGACATGATATCTTTTATTAGACCAACTGAGTACAGGCTTAATGCTGTTTCACTTAGCGCTATTTCACTATAACGCTCACTTTAAATTGATACCTGATTTCCCTTAGCGCTCAGCAAGTTTTGTTATAATGCTCGTGGTCACCATCTTGGGTCATCAAATACTTTTGGTTTCACTTAACGGTCAGTTTTTCAGCACCAATTAAGAGTGCTAAGCGGGGGTTGCCTGTAGTTGGGAAAAAAAAGTTCTTAGCAAGCTCTCAGGCCCAGTCACCCTTCATCAGTCATAGGGAGACTCCCTATGACTGATGAAGGGTGACTG